CTTTTTTTGTTCTCTTGCCACTTCTCTTCCACCCCTGGCTCCCTCTTCACCCACCCCCACAACTAGTACCAATGTACATAGTAATTGTAACGTTTTAGACTTTACAGAAACTTTCCTGTATTCTGTATATAAAAGAACAAAAATACTTCAAATTATGTTTTCTGCCTGTCTGTCCTACCTGTCCTCACCCTTCAGAGGGGACCCTCCCTTCCCAAGACCTTGGTGCCAGGCTCACTGAATAAGCCTTATTCCCAGATACTCAGTTCCCAAGGGAAGTCAAGAGAGGTGGTGGTGGAGAAAAGTGAACCTAAGGTGGATGTGGGAAAATAGAAAGCAACTGCTAAGGGGAACTGTTGTCTGGCTTTATGGTTGACTTCATGGAGTTTAGAAGATTTGATGATCATTTGACATGATCAGATTTTGCAAGAATCCAAGAGTGCAGGTCCCTGCTCCCTTTGGCTCCAGAACACGAAGATGTCAAAGCAGCTAGCAATGAGACCTCTGCATTCTGGACTAGAAGCTCTAACCAAAGGACTTGGGGTCACCTTTGGTTCTGAATGTTTGTTGTCATTCTATTAATCTATTCTAGGAGAAGTCCTAACACTTGGATTTGCCCTTTCCCTGTTAGCCTTAACTGGGCACAGAGCAATTCATTTGTTCAGATACCATTTGATTTCCTCCTCTGTGCCTGGCCTTTGCTAGAACTTGGGTCTTGGTCTAGGCCACTTGCTGTGAGCAACCAACAGGGTAGATAGGGCCCCTGCCTCTTGGAGCTTAGAATGTAGTGCGGAGCAGTTTGCCAATTCAAACTTCTTTGGGGAACATCACGAAGAAAGGAGAAATCTACTCTAGCATTTCCAAGGCTAACCACACTGCTAGGAACATGGAAGTGCCAAACAATGGGTGTTAAATTGCACTGGGTATCTCAGGCAAGGTCCTGGCAAGTTACCTGGCCAGGAATACCCTTTCCAGTGCCTCCTAGCTGTTCCCACCCACCTTGCCATCATAGTTACTTCTTCCATTGAGAAATGGAGCTTCTTTTTTTTAACCTATTGCTACCACCTGTGAGAACCGTTCCAGAGATGAATTTCTTCCTGACTTTACACTCATCTCTTCCTGCTTCTCTGCAGAAATGGAGAGGATAGGAGGCAGAGGCAGGGGGGTGTAGACACTAATGAATTAGTGAATTCTGACAGCCCTTAACTGATGGTGCCACCCTGAACACTTGCCTTACCTCTCTGGCCTCTGGGAAGAGCAGAGAAGAACCTTAGAACCTGAGGGCTGAATGTGAGGATAAGGAATTGAAGGACTTGTATATGAAAGGCAAGGCATCCAGGACCCAATTCACTCTCAGATACAACAGCATTTGTGTAGCATCTCCAGAAAGGAAATCTGCTACGTACACCCAGAGGGCTCACACACAGCCTGCCAGCCCCTTTGGCAAGCCCTCAACTACAGAGCACACACACAAAGGACATGGACAATACGAAGGTGTTCATTCAAGCACGCACATTGGCAGAGGACAGATGTATGTACAGACCTGAGAGGCTCTCCACCCACATGACCCACAAAGACGTAAAGGTGCTCACACAACACACACCTGAAGGGCACTCGCAGGGACTGCAAGTACACACAGGGTGCTCACAAAGACACACAGAGGATCTAGAGGGACGCACCACAACCTGAAGGGTAATCCCAGGGCCCATGGGGACATTCCATACCAAAAAAGACAATCACCCACAGAGTACGTGAATGTATGTACATACCGATCAGGCACGCCTAGGGTGCCTGGGCCCAGATAGAGCATCTGGAAGGAGTTTGCTCTGGCACACACCTAGAGGGCGCTCTCCGGACCCAAAGGCACACATGCACCTAGAGGTTTTCGCACAGGCGCACCCCAAAGACGCCGACGCACGTCTAGGGGGCGCTCGTAGTGCACACGCATGCACACACCCCTGCCCAACTTTCCGCGCGCCCCCGCGGCCGCCTGCGGGAGACAGGCGCGCTCGGCTTCCTTCCCTGCGGGTGCGGAGCGGATCCGCTGTCGCCGGGCAGCGCTGGACCTGCGCGGTAGCCCGAAGGTGCGGCCAGAATGGAGGCGCTGCTGCTGGGCGCGGGGCTGCTGCTGGGCGCCTACGTGCTTGTCTACTACAACCTGGTGAAGGCCCCGCCATGTGGGGGCATCGCCAGCCTGCGAGGCCGCACGGCCGTGGTCACAGGTCAGTGCCGGAGGGCGGGCGATGGGGAGGTGGGGGCGGCGGGCCCGGCTTAGCTCCTGCCCGCCTACCGCAGGCGCCAACAGCGGCATCGGGAAGATGACAGCGCTGGAGCTGGCGCGCCGAGGAGCGCGCGTGGTGCTGGCCTGCCGGAGCCGGGAGCGCGGTGAGGCGGCCGCCTTCGACCTCCGCCAGGTGAGGAAGGGCCGGGACGGTGAACGGAGGACAGACACACTGGGACCCAGAGGGTTGTCAACAGTCTCTGAGGCATCAAGCCCCTGAGAGGAGAGTACTACTAGATGCATTAAGTGCAGAAGAGGGGGGGTGCACCAGACCCAACCTGGGGAGTGGGCTTCCTTGAGGAATTAACTGCTGTTCTAAGATGTTTAGGTTGTAGAAGTTACATTAATGAAGACCGTCGGGAAGGGAAGGACACAGGACAGCATGTGCAGAGACCCTGAGGCCAGAGACCTGGTCTGGTTTAAGAAACTGAATAAAAGGTTTACTGAGAATGGAGCACAGAGTATGGGGAAAAGGCAAAATGAAGGAACTGGAGGCCCTGAGCCAGGGCCAGGTTCTGGAGGCCCTCATACAGCCTATTGCCTATTGAGGAAATTTGTATTTTATAGGATGGGCTGTGGAGATCCAACGAAGGGTCCTCAGCAGGGTCTGGACTGTCAGAATAGACTTTTGGAATGAATCCTTGGTGACTGTGTGGTGGCTGGACTGGAAGGGGCAAGAGTGTTGAGAGACCACTGAGACATCTGTTGTAGATTTTAGAGTAACCAATAACAGGCAGACGGGATGATGATGATAATAATGGAAAGTACCCATTACACAGTTCTGACTGCAAGCCAGGCACTGTTCTAAGTATTTTACATATACTAACTCATTTAAGCCTCACAAGAACTCCATGAGATAGGTACTATTATTATTATTATTATTATTATTATTATTATTATTATTATTATTATTATCATCATTTTACAGTGAGAGAAGTGAGGCCCAGAGAGATTAAATATGTTGGCCAAGGTCACACTATAATGAAAGATCTGCATCAAGAACCCACATACTTAACCACTACATTCTGATGCATAGGGGCAGGTGTTAAGTAGGATGTGGACTCTCAGAATTTGGTGCCTGGGAAGAGGCAGGAGGAGAGAAATGCATGGTGACAAACCCAGTCCTTGCCACTCCACAGGAGAGTGGAAACAATGAGATCATCTTTATGGCCTTGGACTTGGCCAGTCTGGCCTCCGTACAGGCCTTTGCTACCACCTTCCTGAGCTCTGAGCCACGGCTGGATATCCTCATCCACAATGCTGGTGAGAGGCAGCAGATCCTGGAGGGGGCAGCGGGTGGCCAGGGGCAACTGCCTCCACCAGCCAGGCCTTGCCAGTGGCCAGTAGAGATGTGGGAAGGATACCCCCTACCACCATCTCACAGACAAGGACATTGAGGCTTGTGGGGATCTCTCTAGAGAGCAGTTGCTCACTCCTAGCCCCTACCCCAGGAATCAGTTCCTGTGGCCGGACCCACGAGCCCTTTAACCTGCTGCTGCGAGTGAACCACATCGGCCCCTTCCTGCTGACACACCTGCTGCTGCCCCAGCTGAAGACATGCGCCCCCAGCCGTGTGGTGGTAGTTTCCTCAGCTGCCCACCGGCGAGGGCACCTCGACTTCACATGCCTGGACCACCCAGTGGTGGGCTGGCAGCAGGAGCTGAGGGCATATGCCAACAGTAAGCTGGCCAATGTCTTGTTTGCCCGGGAGCTTGCCGCTCAGCTTGAGGGCACTGGTGTCACCTGCTATGCAGCCCACCCAGGTAAGGCCTGGTAGCCACTCTGCTTTGCTTTGATTCCCCCTCTCCCATCCTCACCCCATTCTGTGCTTCCCCCCAGCCTCTCATTGAGCCACAGAATCTCAGGACAGGAAGAAAGCATGGTCCAATGAAAAACCTATTCCTTAGTGGTCTTGGAACTAGGCTCTCCTTGTCTGGGTTCTTTTCACACCACAAGCTTGGTGGCTGACTACTGGGTAGGGTATGGCAATGAATTAGGCCCTGGTTCTCACCCCAAGAGCCATCCGGGTGACTGAACTGACTATAAAGATGGTAGTGGCTAATAATTATTCATTCATTCAAGAAGTATGTACTGAGTACCTTTTATGCACCAGGCATTCATCTCAGTGCTGGTAATATAGCAGTGGAAAAATGTAGACTGTAGAGTCTACATTCTAGTTTAGGGGAAGGGGATATTGGTAATAAATGTATACAATGACAGGTGGTGATAAAGTGCTATGGGGAAAGATAAAACAGGGTAAGGGAAATATGATGAAATAATGGGGTGCTATTTTATCTATGGCGGTCAAGGAAAACACACCTGAAAAGGTGACATTTGAGTAGAGGCCTGAAGGAGACGAGAGAATGAGCCATGTAGCTTTCTGGGGAGAAGAGTATAAAGAACAAAGCAAAGAGCAAGTGTGAAGGTGCTGAGGCAGAAGTGCCTGGTGTGCTTGAGCAAGAACAGGAAGCCTGTTGTGGCAGGAACAAGTGGGAGGGAGAGAGTGGCAAAAAATGAGGTAGAGAGTCATCTAGGGTCAAATAGCCCGGTCATGTAGGGTCTGGGGAGCCACTGTAAGCATCTTGGCTTAGTCTAAGTGAGTTAACTGATGACTAAGACCTCTTCCTGCCTTTAGGGAACGGGTTACAGGACAACAAGATCTGTCCTACCCATATTACCATACTGCATTTTAGATAGTCATTACCTAAGGCTCATCAGTAATTATAAGTGACAATAATAATTAGAGCTAATGTTTATCAAGCCTTTATTACACTCCACATCTCTAACATCCAAAACAGTGGCTGGTCTACCATAGGCATTAATAAATAAATGCTTGATGGTTAAACACAAAGTACCAGGACTTGACCTAGAAGAAAAGATGGAAACAGACACAACTGTTGGGGACACAGCATGAGCAAAATCTGGAAGATGGGGCTGTACAAGGAGTCTGGGTGGGGAGGAGGAGGCCTGCTCTTAGAAATAAGTGAGGTCACTTTGCAGGGGCCCTGGTTTCCCTGGAACTGACTTCTAGCCCTGTTGCTGTTCTTACCCTGGGCCCTCAGCCACTGACCTCACTCACCACTCCTTCCTTTCTTCCTATCCACAGGGCCTGTTAACTCAGAGCTGTTCCTGCGCCACGTTCCTGGATGGCTGTGCCCACTTTTGCGCCCACTGGCTTGGCTGATGCTGCGGGCACCAACAGGGGGTGCCCAGACACCCCTATACTGCGCTCTGCAGGAGGGCATTGAGCCCCTCAGTGGGAGATATTTTGCCAACTGCCGAGTAGAGGAGGTGCCCCCAGCTGCCCGAGATGACTGGGCAGCTCACCGGCTGTGGGAGGCCAGCAAAAGGCTGGCAGGGCTCGGGCCTGGGGAGGATGCTGAACCTGATGAAGACCCCCAGCCTGAGGACCCCGGGACCCCATCTTCTCTCAGCAGCCCCCACCCTGAGGAGCCCACAGTTTCTGAACCTTACCCCAGCCCACAGAGTCCACCAGATGTGTCTAAGATCACAAACCGAATTCAGATTAAAGCTGAACCTGCGCCCCAAGCCTAACCTCCAGGCTGGGATGCTTTCCTTGTACTTGGTGGCCCTTGAAAACCTTAGCTGCATGCCAGACCATGCCCTGGTCATGGAAGGATTTTGAAGTTTTACCTCCATGGTTACTTGCTGGGGCTTCAAGGTGTGTCTGGACAGTTGTTCCCTGGTGGAAGGAAATAATGGGTCCTTATCTCTTCCTGAGAATAGCAGTGCTCCAGATTGAGAGATGGGGGTTAATGTGCCAGACACTGCTGCTCAGGAGTTTGAATTTCATAATTCTAGGCCCCACTCGTGATCGTGATCAGCTCTGGATTTGTAATTTGGTGCACTGCCAACACTGAGAATTACTGAACTGGGCCCTTCTCAACAGTGCAGCTAGGTGGTTGAATTACCCGCGTTTTGCAAAGGCGTGACCGTCAGGGACTCGCCCAAGGTCTCTCATAAGAGCAGGGGCCTGAAATTTGACCCCAAGCCTTCTGACTCCAGGGCCAACTACTGTAAGGTGGCTGCTGGGAGGTGAGGAATGGCCGGGCGGTTATCGAGGCGCCCCGCGGGAGCAGGGGGACGACGCCCTCCCGGGGTACTTGCGGGCTGAGCCCCGCGACCCGGCCCCCGGTGTGATAAAGCGTGCTGCCTGCCGCGGCTCGCGCTCCTTGCTGCCCTTCGCGCCGTGCCGGCCCCGCCCTCCGCCGCCACACTTCCGGCGGGGCTGCGGCCGCGGAGGGGCGCGGGCGGGCGCTGGGGGTGGCGGGATAGGCTGGGCGCGGCCGGCGGTGCGGGCTGCGGGCCGGCTGCCGTCGTTGTCTTTGCGGTCTCGAGGGCCGTGCGTCCCGCAGGCGTCATGGGCAATTGCCACACGGTGGGGCCCAACGAGGCGCTGGTGGTTTCAGGTGAGGGGGCAGCGTGGGAGGTGGTCTGGGCAGCCGGTGCTGGGAGGGTGTTTGGGGGCGAGGGCTGGGTCTGGGAAGGTGGGTGAGGAGGGGGCGAGGGGTGCGTGCAGGGCTGCGGAGCGAACGGGGAAGGGCTAGGCCAGGGAAGGGTTAAGGACGATAGGGGCAAGGTGGGGGCTCCGGGCATGGGGCCTGGGTCAGCCGCGCTCCGGTCGGCACCTGAGACCCCTTCCAGGAGGGACCCCATACTCACGCTTTCCGTGCTCCGCGCCCGCCCACTGCGTGTTTTCGCATGTTTATTCCCTCCTTTCTCCGCCTCCTCCCTACTCAGGCTCTCCCCTCCTCTCCGACGTGGGGTCCCGAACTGAAGCCTTAGGGTTCCGGGAGGGAGGGGACAGTGGTTTCCGGAACACGGCGATTTGGCTGGATTCCAGCGCCCGGGACTGAGGATGGGTCTCACAGCTCTGGGGGGCAGGTTCTTGTCTAGGGAGGAGCCCTGGGACATGGATTCTTGTGCTCTGGTCCGTTAATTCCGAGCAGGCTGGGTCTTGCTGGGGTTTACTGTCACTGCCTGCCCCTGAGATTCCACTGTGGCCTCTACAGGTTGAGAAACCGGGCTTTGGGCTGTGTCGCTCCGGTTGCAAAATGCTGCAGGCTGCAGAATCTCTGTGAGTTTAGATGGGGCTTGGAGACTGCAGTACTGGGGAGGGGAGAGGTATCGTGCTTTACAGCTACTTTTTAAATTGTGTATTTGGGTATCTTGAATGACCTCTGAAATCTTTAAAACCCGGAGTTTGTGCAGCTACCCTTAGCTCACAGGTGCTGGGGAGGCGCAGTGTGTCCCAACAACGTGGGGGGCCTGTACTGAAGGAATCCCCCTGTATTTCTTCCCAGTACCAAAGCCAGTTTTCAGTCAGTGTGCAGAGTTGTTAGGGCTGGCTACAGAAGTGGGTGGAAGGGGGTGGGCTGGGCCAGGGCTTGTATCTGTCCACCCTTGGGCAAGTGTGATAAATCCACTGGGAACATTTACCCCAGAACATGGCTTCTGGCTCTGTTAGATCTCAAAAATCAATCTCCACTGGGACAGGAAATCCCCACCACTCTCCATGTGCAGGAATGGGGAAGATAAGATGCTTCATTTCCCTAAAGATCAGAGATAGCTTTGGTATCAGAGGGAGAGATGCACCTGTCCCCCCACCCAGAGAGCACTCAGGCTAGACTTGTACCTCTGTAAGACCTGGGCCTGTCTCCCAGCCCCCACACAGAAAGAAGGCTTTAGCACCCAAATCTGCGTGGCACTTTGTTTTTCTTGTGGAGCTTCTTCCTGGTAGCCCAGACTCTGAACTGAAGAGACAAAAGCCCCAGTCCTGTCCCTTTGGAGAGCCTTGAGACAGGGGTGAAAATAACATCTGAGATGGGCTGTTCTGTACCTTCCAGGTGCCAGAAACATAGCGCTCTGGCCAGAGGCCAATGCAGTGCTAGCTTCAAAGCTGTTCTAGGGATGAGGAGAGGAGGTTGTGCCGGGAATTAAAGGTGCTAGAGTCAAGGCAGGGTTGGAGAGAAGAAGGGAGGGATAATGCCTAACGAAATAGTACTTTGGTATTTGAGATCATCAAGCTGAGATGCAACTCTCTCTTGCACATGGACTCTCTGGAGAGCAGAGCAGCTACTCCCAGCCCTGCCTCTGCCTAGTTACTTGGGCCTGCATCTAAGTCCAGAGGCATCTCACTCAGCCCACTTCCAGAAGGATGCTCATACAGCTCATGGTCACCTTTTCCACCTGAAAAGTCTGGAGGTTCTTCTGGTCGTTCATTCTGTAGCATAAAGCCTTTTTCTTTGTTTCTTCTTTCAGGAATTTAAAAGGGGAATCCAACTATCATGTACCCTTTTCTCATCTCTGCAATAGGTCAGGTTCTTAACATGGGCTGTGGATTGAATTTAGAGGTCTGTGCATTTAGATGGGGGAGAAAGGTACATTTTTATTTTCACTAAATAAATTTAAATTTCACTTAACTTAAATTTAGCATTTCCTGTGATCATTAATGTGGGTGACAGTCCATGATGGTACTAGCAGGTATTTTCCTACCACACTGCAGTTGTGGAGGGACTTTAAGAATCGTTTATGTTCATCACTACTTTGAAATAATCTACTTTGAAGCTAGTAAGTCTACCATTAGCTCTTATTATTTAACATATTACTATATCACACATATTACTATATAATTTGTTTTGTATGTATTTTATTTGAAGAATGTATGAATGTTACAGCATTGCCAGACTACTAAGGGGGTTTGTGAATCAAAAAAGGCTAAATCCCCTCATAGGGTGTGGTCTTCTGGACTAGTAGGAAGAAGAAGGTGGGAGAGGAGCAGGAAGGGAAGGGAGTGTCACTGAGAGGGCAGAGTGACAGGCTCTGTCTGTCTAATAGTGGTTCAGAGGCTATCATGCTGTGTTCTGTCTTTCAGCTTGGTTGAGGACAGGACAAACAAAAGCAAGTTGGGTGAGAAAAAGTGAGATAAAATTAGGACAAACTCCTGGTCTCAAGACAATGAGAGCTAGGGAGGCCAAGGAAGGGACCCTGAAGTGTTCTTTGGGGGCAGTGTGACCAGGAAGCTGGGAGGAAGATGGGGAGGAGGCTGCTGGGGGCGGGACAGTCTGGCAGACCCAGCTTCCGGTTGCTGCCCCTGGGAATATGGCCATGTTGCCCTTGACAATGGTCCAGCTTGAGCTGTGGAGCCTGCTCCCAAGGTCAAAGAAGAAGTTAAAAGATGAATGGTGGATGACCCCTCCCCCATCCTATCCTACCACTACCACCTCCACCCCCAGCCTGGTGAGAAGTGCCCTAGAGCTGGCCAGAGGCAGCATGCCCCACTGGCCAGAAGAAGCTGTGATTTTTGACCCTAGCAGTTTTCGCTGGGTTCCAAGATGGTTTAGGTTTCAAATTGACTGCTTGTCCTTAGAGGCCTCCCTTGCCCCACCCCCTGGGGCCGAGAAACCAGCAATACTTCACATGAACAGAGCCCTGTGGACTCTTGTTTTCATCACAGAGAAAAAGAGACCTAAGAGCACCTCTTCTGTGCACAGGGGCAGACCCCTGAAACTGGGTTGGCCACCCAGTGAGCAGTGTCAGATGCCAGCTGTCTAACCTGACTAGCCCCTGCACTCGGGGTTGTCTTTGGTCCTTTGCCTCCACCCATCTAAAACCTGTCTCCAGTTCACTTGTTCTCTGTTGGTTACTGGCTTCACCACTGACCCAAACTCAACTCTAGAGCTGCACCAATATAGTAGCCACCAGCTACATGTAGCCACTTAAATTTAAATTAATTAAATTAAAATTTCATTTCCTCAGTCATCTCAGCCATGTTTTGCCAAGTGGCTGCCGTATTGCACAGTGCAGCTACAGAACATTTCCACCTGCATAGAAAGTCCTGTTGGCCAAGACTGCTCTAAGTTATCCCACAGCATCAACCACCTAGTCTTTGCCTACATCACTGCAAGAAGCTTCTCCCTTATCTCCCTGACCCCATGTGTTTCTCTTTCTGCAAAGTGGTGTTTCAAAAATGAAAACATAACTTTTTTTTGTATCACTAATGAGCAATTACATGAGCAACATTATGGTTACTTGACTCCCCCCATTATCAAGTCCGCACCACATACCCCATTACAGTCACTGTCCATCAGTGTAGTAAGATGCTATAGAATCACTACTTGTCTTCTCTGTGCTATACTGCCTTACTGTGCCCCCCACACACATTATGTTTACTAATCATAATGCTTCTTTTTCCCTCTTATCCCTCCCTTCCCACCCATCCTCCCCAGTCCCTTTCCCTTTGATAACTGTTAGTCCATTCTTGGGTTCTATGAGTCTGCTGCTGTTTTGTTACTTCAGTTCTTTTCTTTGTTCTTATACTCCACAGATGAGTGAAATCATTTGGTACTTGTCTTTCTCTGCCTGGCTTATTTCACTGAACATAATACCCTCTAGCTCCATCTATGTTGTTGCAAATGGTAGGATTTGTTTTCTTCCTATGGCTGAATAATATTCCATTGTGTATATGTACCACATATCCATTATCCATTCATCTACTGATGGACACTTAGGTTGCTTCCATTTCTTGGCTGTTGTAAATAGTGCTGCGATAAATCCAGGGGTGCATGTGTCTCATTCAAACTGGGCTCCTGCATTTTTAAATTAAATTCCTAGGAGTGGAATTCCTGGGTCAAAAGGTATTTCTATTTTGAGTTTTTTGAGGAACCTCCATACTGCTTTCCACAATGGTTGAACTAATTTACATACCCACGAGTAGTGTAGGAGGGTTCCCCTTTCTCCACATCCTCACCAACATTTGTTGTTGTTTGTCTTTTGGATGTTGGCCATCCTAACTGATGTGAGGTGATTGTGGTTTTAATCTGCATTCCTCTGACGATTAGTGGTGGAGCATCTTTTCGTGTGAAAACATAACTTTTTCACCCCCCCAGCCTAACTCCCTGTGTGATGCCCCCATCACACATACACACACACACACACACACACACCCCAGCCTAACTCCCTGTGTAATGCCCCCATCACACACACACACACACACACACACACACACACACACACACACACACCCACACACACACACACACCAGCTCCTTGGCCTGATACCTGAGACACAATGTGATCTGCCCTCTTCTCCTCCCCTGACCCTGCCTTGTTCTTTGCCAATGCCCCCATCACACACACACACACACACACACACACACACACACACACACACACACACACACACACACACACACCAGCTCCTTGGCCTGATACCTGAGACACAATGTGATCTGCCCTCTTCTCCTCCCCTGACCCTGCCTTGTTCTTTGCCAGGGGTCTTCAGATATACAGTAACTCAGCTACAGGACACTACCCTTGACCTTTGGAGGCACCCACACTGCAGCTTTCTGGATAACCAGAGTTTGTAAACATGGAAATGATGACATTCACTGGCTACTTCCCAAATCACGTTTCCTTTGAACCCTATTTCCTCCTGTACATTTCTTTACACTGCAAATGAACTGCCCCTCTAGCTTTTACTAAAGTTTTCTTGAACTTGATGAGTAATTTTGACATTAGCAGGAGGGTTCACAACAAGAATTTCAGGAATTGATTTTTCTCATTTCTGCATAGAGAGCATGGCAAACATGTCCACAGCATTAATCTGGGTCATGGCCAGATTCAACATTCTGTTTAGTTGATACAGTTTCCAGGAACCACTTCCTTTTTAGATCTTCTCCCTTTCTCTCACTGCTCCCATTGGTACCATGAGTTGACCTTTGTTTTGAGGTCTGCTCGCACAAGAGGAACAGAGTGACTCCGAATCCCTGGGAATAGAGAACCAACCTCACAGATGTGTCTGCTGGGCATGAACAAGGCTCCCACCTCAGCTTGGAGACTCCCTGCCTCCCATCGCCCTCCCAGCATTGGCCCCCACTACATTCATTCCCTCTCAGTCTGCACTCATTCTAGTAAAAGATGAACAGCCTGGTCTCAGACAAGACTGGGAGGGCCTTAGAATCTACTTGGATAGACAGGCAATTTGCATAGAAAGGAGGATATCTAATGAGTGATTCAGAAAGCAAGTGCTTTTAGACTTCAGTCTGAAAAGCAGGTCAGTGGAAAAGTTAAAAGCTCCCACATCCTTCAAGACAGGATCATTATCTTCATCTCTTCACCCTTAGTGCAGAAAGCTGCTGTATTTGTTGCATAAAAGATGGCAGCCTTCCCTGCTCACTCCTGCCCATTGACCTCTGCTGTTCTCTGAAAGCAGTACATTCAGAACCACTCATTGGATAGCCTCTTTTTTATGCAGATTTCTTGTCTACCAAACTAGATTCCAAGGCCCTTAAGGGCTTGTCTCCCATTTCTGTGTAACCTCGGCACCTGGTACCCAGGAGTGGGAGCTGTCAAGTATCAGAGCAGGTAAAGGTCCAAAGTTGCTGTTGGAGGGATGGGGGATAGACAAACCCAAGAACTAACTGACTGGCAGTGGTTTGCTTTGCTCTCCAGGGGGCTGCTGTGGTTCCGACTATAAACAGTATGTGTTTGGCGGCTGGGCCTGGGCCTGGTGGTGTATCTCCGACACTCAGAGGTAAGGGTCTGGGGACTTGGGAAAATGGCATCCTGGTGGGCAAGAGAAACAGAATTCCCAGCGCTTCTCCCTCCATCAGGCCAGCTAGAGTGTCTGCCACTTGCCACATTCCATTGGCAGGGTAGGGGGAGCCTCTGAAGCAGCTGAAATGGGTGGCACAGGCATGCAGGAGATCTAAGCGGGGCCACCTTCTTAATGGGCATGCCTTTCTCCATTACAAGTATCACTTCTGTCCCAGAGAATTCAGGGTCATGCCCAGGCAGAATCCTAATTTCCTGATTCTAGCTTAATGATTCATGAAGCCTTAATTATACACCCTGTTTGGAATGGGTCTAGGGAGGGAGAAAAGGCTGAAGAGACCCCTTACACCCTCACCTGCACAGGCCCTGGGATGATGCAGGCAGGGGGCTAGTCAGCAGAGAATGGATGTACAGTCTGAGATAGCTCTCTGAGCGTGCCACATTAGAGATGGCTGGAGATCTAAGGATTTGGTGCTGGGACTGGGTGAGACAGGTCTGGACCTCCCAAATCAGTTTGGAAAGACTAAAGGAAGGGATATTTCAGCCTCCCAGAGGGCCCGCCACCACCTGCCAGCTGCCCCAGAGCCCCCGTCAGGCCAGACTTGTCCTGGACCTCTCCTGCCATTCTCACTGCCCAAGGAGGAGATGAGGCATGCTGGCCAGGCCACCGTCCCATCACCCCCTTGGGAGATGGAGAGAGGAGCTCAGATCCTTCTAGGCCAAGACTCAGGCAACAAGGGCAGTAGAGCTGTGAAGGTGTGGGCATGGGGGGGCAGGGAGTGGGCATCCTGAGGGGGAAGCAATGGAGATTCCAGTCAGAATTCGCCTCCACCCTGGCCCCACCAATCAGCAGAGAGAAATGCATGGCTGCACTCAGCTGCCAGTGCTTTTTGGGGCTCCAGGGAGGCTGAGGGTGTCAGCTAGGGTCAGGCACATGGTAAGCATGTCTCAGCTTTTGACTCCAGTCGCTGAATTCCCAGGAACCCCCTTCACTCCCCCGTCTCTCACCTCAAATTGCCCTACCTGAGTTGAGGGATCCTGGGGACTCTTTCTGGCGCAAGGCTGAAGTGTCAAGAGAGTAATCAGTACTGGTCACAGCTTCCTCTCGGGAGGATCCCAGGCACCCTTGAATGGGCCAGTTGGCCTGGCAGAAGCCATGGAGTGCCCTCTGCAGAGACACTGCCACTCCGCCCCACACACTATGCCGTCCTGGGACAAGAGGGTGTCTTGTCCAAACACTTTGACATACGGACTGGGCCAGAGAGTTGTCAGCTTACCCAGAGTCCTGTCTGTAGCAACCCCCCTGCAACCTTTCTCCACATTCTTGGTTCCGCTTCAGCTTCTTGCTCCAGGGAGCAGACCCCCAAGACAGGAGGACCAAGCTTTTCTGACAGCAGGTTTGGAAGTGAGGGGTGGAGGGCCTTGTACCTCCTCCTGGGAAACTGATCTCACACACGAGGCTCAGCATCACCTCTGGTCCCACTTGCTGGGTAGTCTGAGCCTACAGCCCCCGCCTTTGTGGGGGATAGACCCTCCCCCAACTCCTAGCCTGCTTGGGGGATGTCTCCACAAGCTGAGGCCTTTATTTTCCCAGGCCAGCAGGAGACCCTCAGGTCAGAGGAGAGGCTTCTAACCCAGCCTGGATCCTCAGCCTCCCTTTTGAGGTACTCCCCACAGCCATCTCACATGTCACCCACGCTTGGTGTCAGCCATCCTTCTCCAGGCTCAGTGAAGTCCCTCCTGCTGCACTTCCCTGCCGCGCCCTATACTATCCTGAGCCCTGACATGGGCAGCGCTGTCCCTCACCGGAGCAATTCCTCCACCTCTGGCATCTGAGCTGCAGCCTCCCACCTTCCCTCCTGCCTTTCCTCCCTCTCCCCTCTCTCCCTCTTTCCTCCTTCCCCAGAAGAGAGCTTGGTGGGTTCTTGTCTGAGCCAGGCCTAGAGTCCTCTCAGGCCCACAGTATCAGTGTGAGGGGCTTGAATGAAAGCGACCTTCACACACCTGCACGGCTGGAGTCCCCAGGGCTGCCACTGGGAGAGCTGAGTTGGGGCCTACACATTGCCTACTGCCTCCCTCCCCCAGGCCACGTGCTTCTGCTCCTTCAGCCTCAGCCTCAGCCTCTGTCCTCCCTTCCTCTGGTTAAGGAAACCTTCCACACTGTCCACAGCCTCACCTCTGCCTGGACCACCATTCTACACGCACTCGCACGCACACACTGCTCCCAGGAGACCCAGCTAGGGTGGGCCAAGCAGCTTCAAGGTGACTTGTTTTCTTTACCATGACTCTCTTCTCTGCCTGTGCTCAACTTGGGAAATTCCAAAGTTTATTACTCCATCATCTCCCAGTCATCCCTGTAAGTATTCTGGACAGGCACACTTTCTCCCCCAGCCTTCCTTGACACATCCTCCTCCAACAGCCCCAAATCAGCAATCCAAAACTGTCCTTAGGCTTTTCTGGCCCTCAGTTGCCTTCTTAGTGATGGTAGCACAAACCTTGAGGGTTTGTGCCCCAAGCAGTATCCAGTATTTGCTGTGGCTCATTAATCTCCAGAGTGGCCTCCTCCTCCCAATTTCTGGAAACACAGATTTGCCTGTGTTTGGAGGGTGCAGCTGAGGCTAAATCTCCCAGACCATGCCAGGAATCTCCTGGGAAAGTCGGGTGATGGGCAGCCCAGCTGCCCTGTGCACAGGCCTCCTGACCTCAGGTCTTAGACCAGGGCAGCAGCAGGCCTTTCCCCAGCCCAGCAGCTGCTTCTCCTTGGAAAGGTATGGGAGCTAGAGAAGAGACCCAGAGGCCTCAAGCCAGCAAGGGGGTGTTTCCATCCCCTACAGCCCTAGGCTAAGCTGGCAGTGGGGGGCTGAAGTAGTGAGAACTACCCTGCCCTGCCCCCAAGCATCAGGCATCAGTGCTTGTCTGGTAACCACTGTGTGTGTTTGCTGTGTCCCTTCCTACCCCTTCCTGTCCCTACCTCTCCCTACCTCCTGGCTGCTCCTCAGACTGTCTCTGGAGGTTATGACCATCCTGTGTCGCTGTGAGAATATTGAGACGTCGGAGGGGGTCCCGCTATTCGTAACAGGGGTTGCACAGGTAATAACCCACCTGCTTCCTCCTCTGTCTAACCTTCTCTCTTCCTGCCCTGCGGGGCCTGGCAGGCAGGAGCTGGATGGACTCCCCTCCTGAGAGTGTCCCTGCCTCCCTGCTGCTCTCCCCATCCCCTGCTGCTATGCTGGGTGCCAGGATGGACCCCTGTAGATCCCCAGCTCCCTTGCCCTCACTCACTGGGGCTAGTAGTGGGGAAGGGACAAGGGCTTTTGGAAGCTCTGCCCAAGTCTGCCAGTGGATGTTTCCAAGCCTAAATCAGGAGTAAGTTGAGGCAGGAGACACAGGCCCTTATGTGACAGAGCTGGGCTGTCCAGGTGGGAAGGGTTCAGTCCTAACTAGTTGTGCGGAAGTCCTCGTCCTCCAGGTACCATGGCGCCCCTTGCTAGCTGCTTCCCCAGGCCCCAGGGTCAAGCCCTAGCCCTCCTCCCTGCAAGGCCAGGAGATTGCTCATTGGGGAGTTCTGTTCACCCAGGCCCTCAGCCCGCTCCTGTCTCCTTGAGAGGCCTCAGTGAGAAAAGCCTTGCCCGTTCCTTGCCCCTGATTCTTTGAGAGGCTGCCGAGCAAATCTCTTGTCACTGGCCTTCAGTTTCCTCCCTCCTGAAATGGAGAGAATCATACCTTCTCTGTGCCTTGTATGGATGTTGGAAAGGCAAGTAAAAATACTTCGGGAGTTTTAGAAAAGTGCTGGAGAAACCCAAGCTTTATTATGATGCGATCTCCCTTCAGAAAGCAAGTGACTTAGTCACTCACTCTTCACTGTCATGCAGCCTTAGCTGCTGAAATCCATTCCTGAGCCAGGGTGTTGAGTAACACCAAGAACTCTCTGTGTAACATGCAGGTTCCTATCTTCACTGCTTCATTCACCAGCTCTCTACTGAGCACCAGCTCCATTCTTGGCACTGCAGACTCAGCAGAGAGCCCCCCCGCCCCTCAGAGCCTAAACATCTTCTTGCCCATCCCCTTCCTCTGCCTGAAATTGCCTATCAGCCTTCAGGCAAAAACCCTGCACCACCACACTCCCTTCCTCACCCATCCTGCCGCTTGTGTCAGGAAGGGGACCAGCTGCATCTCATCTGCCCCTTGCAGCCAGGGGAGGGCAGGCTTCAGTGCAGAGGCCTGCGAAGAAGCTCTGACCATCTTGTGTCAAATGGGTAGGGTCCCAGCCACTCTCGACACCCTGTCTAAAGCAACTCTGTACCCCTCCAAACCCACTACTCTACTTGAAACAACTGCAAAGGCCCAGGTCCCCTTTGGGCTGAGTCATGCCCACCCTTGAAGACTCAGACCGTCTGGACAGAACAAGTCTCTCTAGGGTTCGTGTTCCTTGGCCAGGAAGCTCTAGTGAGACCCCAGCCCTCACTCTCCACTTGAGCCACCTGGGCCCAACCCCAGATGGTGGGCTTTAAGTCATAGCCTGTTTCCCGCAGGCCCTCCTAGCAAGGGGCAGACACAGGATCACTTCTGTCTTGGCCCAGCAGCAGGCATACTCCCAGTATGCCAGGCTTTCTGGGCAGCCTTCTGGGGCATCCTGGGGTGCTGAGTAGGGAACAGTGAGGTCGCTGGGGGTGTTCATCTGGCTCCATGGATGACCCACACAGCACAGCCTGGAGTACCAGCACTTACTTGCTGTTTCAGGACCTACACACGTGACTATACTGGTTCTCCCACCAACCCAGACCACCCACGACTTCTCTACTTCCTTTTCCTGCTCTGAGGCTGGTTGATCTGAGCAGAGGACATGTGTGCATGTGGGTAGCACACTTACACTCCTTCCCCTGGAGCCACCTGCACCCACCCTGCTCTGCCTTCCCACCCATCTTCTCGCTTCCAACCATGACCCTGTGGAGAGCCCTCCCCACCCTCCTCTGCAGCAGGACCCCAGGCCCATCCCAGCTGGAGCAGTGAGGTATTGGATTTTCCCCACACCCCAGGCCCTGGGCCCCCAGACCCATGCCCCTGTTTTGCGTTTCTTGGCAGGATTTCCCTAGAGATTATGACGTTGCAGCCCCGCTGCGAGGACGTAGAGACGGCCGAGGGGGTAGCTTTAACTGTGACGGGTGTCGCCCAGGTATAGTAACTCAGCAGCCCCACGCATGTCCGACGAGCTGCCTCGTCCCTGTTCTGGGGCTTGGGGGGAGGAAGAGAGGATAACAGCCAGGGGCAGTCTCTCTCCAGTGCCCCTGCCCCTCCCCCCTGCTTCCAAGAGAGGATCGTCACCACTGGAACATGCTCGCTCAGTCCCTTGGCCCCCCAGCAGGACTAACAGACAACCATTCTCTTCTCAGCTGGCCCACGAGGGACAGAACCAGTGCTGAGGGCTCCTGTCTCACTAACCCCATCCATTCTTTGCAGGTGTCGGAAATGCCAAGCCCCAGAATCCAGGCTTTCTCATTCCCTGGGGAGGGATCTGAAGGGGTGGGGACAGAGGGTGAGACCATGTCAGGCCCAGGAGCTCTGGGCTCTGGAGTTGGAGGCTGTGCTATAGTCCCAGCTCGGTGCCTGGACGAGGGGCTTCCTACTGTAGCCCTCCTTTCTGCTTCCCAGGACAGTGAGGTTCAGCCTTGTTATGGGCCTCTGGTGAGGGGCTGTTGGCTTAGGACCTCAGGAAGGAAAGGCAGGAGGATGCCCGCCCTCGGCATCCCACTGGAGTTGTCTCCTGCCCTGTCCAGGTCTTCCCTAGTCGGTCTCTGTGTGTCCCTATTGCTCATTCTCCTTTCTGCCCTCTTTGCCCCTCAGCCTGCAGGTCTCCTACCTGTGGGAGCCTGCAAGGGAGGAATTGGCTAATGAGGGACCAGCGAGTGGCTGGAGGGGTGGGAGGGGAAGCCCCAAATGCCAGGAGAGAGGCCATGTCAGGGCTGCCAGTGGAGATGAAATTTCTCAGTGGAGGAATTCCTCATGTGCTCTCCACACTAGAGGCCTCAGACTCTGCCCCCTCCAAGCCCCTGGGCCTCCAGGTCTGAAAAAGGAGGAGAGGAGCACAGCCGCCCTCCTCCACACCTCTGGGTCTGGGGCTCCTCTGCCGCCCTCCAGCCTGGCTCAGGTGCCTCTGTGCCCGGCAGGTGAAGATCATGACGGAGAAGGAGCTCCTGGCCGTGGCCTGTGAGCAGTTCCTGGGCAAGAATGTGCAGGACATCAAGAATGTCGTCCTGCAGACGCTGGAGGGGCACTTGCGCTCCATCCTCGGTGAGTCCCAGTCCAGCCCAGGGACCCCTCTCCTACCTTCCAGGAGCCACATAGGGTCTCCAAGGAAGGGCAGGAGTCTGGCAGTCCTACCAAGGTTTCTCGCTGAAAAATAGAAACATTTCCCCCAAAGTGTTTTATTTCAAAACTTCAGGTGACTTGAGTGAAGAGGAAGGCAGTGGGATGGGGGTGACAGGCTGCCAATCTGTCAGGCCCCTGGTGCTGCTTGGAGCACTTTTCCTCATCCAGCCTAGAGTCTGAGAAGAGGCTCAGTGTTAAATGATTTAGAAACCCCAGGAAGGCCCAGCTCAGTCTGCAAGACACTGCATACACTCACACCTCTACTTGCATGCCTCCTCCCTTTCCCAGCTGGCTGGGCCCCTGGGGAGCCAGTCTATGATCCCTCTGCCCCCAGGGACCCTGACTGTGGAGCAGATTTATCAGGACCGGGACCAGTTCGCCAAGCTGGTGCGGGAGGTGGCGGCCCCTGATGTCGGCCGCATGGGCATTGAGATCCTCAGCTTCACCATCAAGGTGCAGTGTGATGGGAAGGCTGTAGCCCCCATGTCTACCTGGGAGGGGGGTACTTGGCAGGAGGGCCACCTTTGTGCCTTTGACTGTTCCCAAGGGTGACTCCTGCTTCCCTCCCCAGGATGTATATGACAAAGTGGACTATCTGAGCTCCCTGGGAAAGACGCAGACTGCCGTGGTGCAGAGAGATGCCGACATTGGAGTAGCCGAAGCTGAGAGGGATGCAGGCATCCGGGTAAGTGGGCTTTTCTTCCCACCCCCAGGGACAGGGAGCTCAGAGGTAGCGGGACCATGGTTGCTCAGGGGACCCACAGCAGCTGCCCTCCCTGCTCCCAGGAAGCTGAGTGCAAAAAGGAGATGCTGGATGTGAAGTTCATGGCAGACACCAAGATTGCTGACTCCAAGCGAGCCTTCGAGCTGCAAAAGTCAGCCTTCAGTGAGGAGGTCAACGTCAAGGTGAGAAGCGGTAGGGTTGGGACTCAGGGCTCAAGACTTAGCAGCCAGCCTCTGACATGCTGACCATACTCCTTCCATAGACAGCTGAGGCCCAGCTGGCCTATGAACTTCAAGGGGCCCGAGAGCAGCAGAAGATCCGGCAGGAAGAGATTGAGATTGAGGTTGTGCAGCGCAAGAAGCAGATTGCAGTGGAGGCACAGGAGATACTACGCACAGACAAGGAGCTCATTGCCACTGTGCGCCGCCCCGCGGAGGCTGAGGCTCATCGCATACAGCAGATCGCTGAGGGTGAAAAGTGAGTGCTGCTGGGCACCAGGGCTGAGGGCCAGTCAGGCTCCTCTGCCCTCCATCCACTCCCTCCACTCCGCTGACCGCAGCTCAGAAGCCACTGCTCCCCCGTGCCTGCTTACTCACTGTGAAGTGGGGGTGACCTGCCTCCCCAACAGGGTTATTGTTAGGAAGACTGAATTCAATACAGGAGGTTCAAGGGCCTGGAATGGTACTTGGCATAGAGGGCATCCTGGTCAGGTGCCTTCCCATTTGTATCTGGAAGCCAGCAGCCAGAGCCACAAAGCCAGAGCACCCCACTTCATGGGTCCCCCACCCTGACACCTGCAAGAGCAGAGGGCTTAAGCATTTACTGGTCCCCTGGCAAGGTTTGAGGGTCTCCTGGCACTTCCCACTAATCCTCCCCAACCCGGACTCCCCCAGGGTGAAGCAAGTCCTCTTGGCACAGGCAGAGGCTGAGAAGATCCGCAAAATTGGGGAGGCAGAGGCGGCAGTCATCGAGTCGATGGGCAAGGCAGAGGCCGAGCGGATGAAACTGAAGGCAGAGGCCTACCAGAAATACGGGGATGCAGCCAAGATGGCCTTGGTGCTAGAGGCCCTGCCCCAGGTGAGACCCACACCCCAGGCTGAGGCTAACTGGGCAAATGTCGGGACTCCCCTGGGCCTTGTCAGAAACACAGAAACAGGCTGGCTAGAAGGATTATCTGAGGGGTGTTGGGGGGAACCCTGCAAAAGGCACAGGCTCATTCCTGGCGCACTGGGCCTCTCTGACCATGGCTTGCAATTAAGGGCCACCCAGGCTGCCTTGGGGTTTGGTGAGGTGGAGGAGGGAGAGATACTGGCTAGGGTGGGTGAATGGAGCCAGAGCACCAGCCAAGCTGTCCTCCCACCTCCTAGATTGCTGCCAAAATCGCTGCTCCTTTGACTAAAGTTGATGAGATTGTGGTCCTCAGCGGGGACAACAGCAAGGTGACATCAGAAGTGAATCGGCTGCTGGCTGAGCTGCCTGCCTCTGTGCACGCCCTCACAGGCGTGGACCTGTCTAAGGTGCGTGCCTAGCTAGCTGCGGGGGTTCCTGAGCAGCAAATAAACTAGCCCAGGCAGCAAGGTTGCAGGCCCCAGAGCCAAGGCCTCATGGTATCTTCCATCTTTGCAGATACCCCTGATCAAGAAGGCCACCGGTGCACAGGTGTGAGGCTCCTGAAGGCCCACACCCTTCGCAGCCACCCGCCCCTCCTTCAGCACCTGTTATAATACCACAGGGACAATGGGAACGAACTGACTCTGGTGCCTTATTTTGTAGGGACCAGAAGTGCTGCGAGTTCAGGCCTTCTCTGGCTGTCTTCCTTTCTTCCTGTCTCTGTCTGTCTCCTTCCTCTTCTCCCCTGCCCCATACCCTCAGTTTCACTGCCGCATTCATAGGGTTTGTCTCTTCCATCCTCATCTTCCTGTATGTCTCTTCCTTTGTCTTTTTATCTCCCTCTCTCCTCCAACTTCTATATGTATCATGTAGTTTCAGCCAAAAATGTTTATTATAATCACTGTCTGTCTGTTGGGGGTGGCCCTGCTGCTCCTCAGAATCCTGGTGCCTTGAAGTTCTCTGTTCATCTGTCCGTTCTCCCTGTGGCCCTGGCCAGAGCTCAGCATGGGTACAGGAGGTCTGGATAGGACGGCCACCCTGCCCACACCTGGCCTAGTCTTCCCCAGCCGTAAACCCTCCCCAGGAAGTCCCTAGCCTCACCTACTGCAGCCTTGCCAGGCCTGGGTAGCCGAGGCTTGCGAGCCCAGGGCCACTGCCCTTCACTTCACCCTCCCTAGTCTCGGGCCTCTTCTGTACCTGACCTCTCTCCCTAGCCCCAGGGGCACAGAGGCAAGGCCTCCTTCTATAGCAGCTCCCTCGGTTTACTACTGCCTTAGGAGGCCCCTGCTTGTGCTCAGGGAATATCCCTTCATGGACATGTCCCTACTAGGTGGAGTGGGTCTTGGTCCCAATTCTGCTAAGCCTTTCTAGGACCAGAGTCTAGCCCTGTTGGGGACTAGAAAGTATGTAGGCAGCACTGTCCTGGGTATCTGGCCAGGCCCTTCCAGTGGGCAAAGCTGTGCCAACCCTGTACCAAAATGAGTGCCGTAGACTGGCCAGACTCCATACTCCTTGTGCCGTCTTTCTTCCTGGCCAGAATAATAGGGTTCCAGCCACAGGGAAGCAGCCCAGTCCTCTGTCTCCTTGCTCTAGTGGAGGCAGAAGAGCCCAGAGCCCAAGCATCCTGGCAGGGGAGCTGTGGATGTTCCACAGTCCCAGTCCTTGCCCAAGCCTTGCCCTGGCCTGTGTAGCTGTTCCTGCATGTGGATGCTGCATGTCTGGTCTGGGGCTTGGATGCTGCACTGCCCCGCTGCCTGCCCCTTCTGGTAAAATAAAGATGTTATGCCCATGCCCTGTATCATGTCTTCTGTGAAGCGAAAGACTGGCAAGCAAGAACCAACCAGGTCCCCCCACCCTTAGCACCCTTCAACGTAAAGAATGCACTTTGCCTGTTCTTCCCCACACTTGCCACTGGGGGGCATCAGCACACAGGCCTTGCCCCCTAGTAGCATGCTGGGGCAGAGCTGCCATTGGCCCAGGCACGGAAGCCAGACCTGAGCCCTGGGAGAACTAGCTCCAGTGCTGGCAGATGGAAGGGGCTGCTGGGCTCACTGCACCTCTGTGCCCATACTAAGCCCCACTCAGTAGTGGAGCCCATTTCTAGTTTAAGACCATGAACTTTGGAGTCAGACTGCTTCGGTTTAAATTTTAGCTCTGTTGTTTATCATCTGTATAATCTTGGGCAAGTAACTTCATCTTTCTGGGCTTCAATATTCATTCATCTTTCAGATTTATCTAATGCTTGCTATGTGCCAGGCATTGTACTAGATGCCAGAGAGACTGCAGGGAATGAAACAACCCCTAGCCTTTAGAGCTTACATTCATGTGGGGGAAATAAAACAAGAAAAATTAAATATACACTGTGTTAGATAATGGTATGTACTGAGGAGGAAAATAAAATAGGAAAAGGAATAGGAATAGGAAGTTTGGGAGGGTATTGGAATTGTAGTGTGTCAAAGGAAGGCTTCATTAAGAAGGTAGTACTGAGGAAAGTAAAGCCATGAGACAGATGTTAGAAGAGCTTTCTGTCCAAAGACACTAAGGTAGAAGTGTGTCTGTCCTGATCAAAGAACAGCAAGTCCATGTGTTTGGAAGCAAGTGAGTGAGTTAAGCAGTGTGGATAGTGGCAGTGGACGAGGTTAGGATGGGAATTTGTTTTCAGATTACCTGGAACCTTAATGGGGCATATTTTGACCATTTCTGAGATGGGAAATGACAAAAGCATTTTGAAAGAGGAGTGATGTGATCCAACACATCTAAAAAGGTCATTCTAAAATGCTGGCAAGGATGCAGAGAAAGGTGAACCCTCCTACACTGTTGGTAGGAATATAAATTAGTTCAACCATTGTGGAAAACAATATGGAGGTTCCTCAAAAAGCTAAAAATGGAAATACCATTTGACCAGGGTACTCCACTCCTAGGAATTTACCAGAAGAAAGCAAGATTCCAGATTCAAAAAGACACACACCCCTATGTTTATCGCAGCACTTTTTACAATAGCCAAGAAATGGAAGCAACCTAAGTGGCCATCAGTAGATGAATGGATAAAGAAGATGTGGTACATATACACAGTGGAATATTATTCAGCCATAAGAAGAAAACAAATCCTACCATTTGCAGCAACATGGATGGAGCTAAAGGGTATTATGCTCAGTGAAATAAGCCAGGCAGAGAAAAACAAGTACCAAATGATTTTTCTCATTTGTGGAGTATAACAGCAAAGCGAAACTTAAGGAACAAAACTAGCAGACTCACAAACTCCAAGAAGGGACTAGTGGTTACCAAAGGGGAAGGGTGGGGGAGAGTGGGTGGGGAGGGAGGGAGAAGAAGATTGAGGGGCATTATGATTGGCACACAATGTGGGGGAGGGTCACAGGGAAGACAGTGTAGCACAGAGAAGACAAGCACTGACTATATTAGCTTAACTATGCTGGTGGACAGTGACTGCAATGGAGTTTGTGGAGGGGACTTGATAATATGGGTGAATGTAGTGACCACAATGTTGCTCATGTGAAACCTTCATAAGATTGTATGTCAATGATACCTTAATTTAAAAAAAAAAAAGGTAATTCTAGGCACTAAAACAAGTAAAGGAAGAAAGGAAATCTATTCCAAAATGGTGCTGTAATAACTGGGTCTGTATGAAAAAAAAAACTGAATCATAACCCCTACCTCACTCCATATACAAAAACTAGTTTGAGATGGATCTTGGACCTAATGTAAAAATGCAAACCATAAAGCTTATAGAACAAGAGGGCAGTGTTTCTATGACCTTGGCCTAGGTAAGATTTCTTAGGACAGACACAAAAAAAGAGCATTAACCACAAAAGAAAAAACTGATAAATTAGACCATCAAAATAGGTCTCTCTGTTCATCAGAAGAAACAAGAAAAACGGCAAGCACAGTCAGAAAAAATATTTACAATACGTGTAACAAAGGACTTGCATCCCATGTATCAAAAGAGCCCCTACAAATTAAATGAAAGTCAACCCAATAGGAACATTGCTCTGCATGTCTTCCTGAGAATAGAATGAAGAGGGGTAGGGGAGGCCCAGGGGGACCAGTTGCTCCGCAGTATTACAATAACGCATGTGAAATAGGACAGTGACTTGTACCAATGGGGGTGGTGAGAAACACTTAGATTCTGGATATATTTTGAACTAACTAGAGTTTCTGACATTGAGCATGAGAAAAGAAGAGAAATAAAAATGCCTCCAATATACCATGCCCACCAATAAAAACTCAGTATTGCAAAGATATCAGTTCCCCCAAATTGGTCTATAGGTTCAATACAATCCCAATCAAAATCCCAAGATATTTTTAATTGATAAACTAATTCTGAAAATTATAGGGAAATGCCAAAGGATCTAAAATAAGCAAGACAAATTTGAAAAAGAAAAGTTGGAGGATATAAACTACCAAATACCAAGACTTAAAAGTTTTAGTAGTTAAGACAGTGGGATATTAACACTCCAGAGGCCAATGAAAGTCCAGAAGTAGACCCACACTTGCTTTATGCTGAAAGTAATTGTGCAGAGCTGCGGGGAATGGCCAGTCTTTTCAATGAAAGATACTAGATATCTGTATGGAGGGGGAAAAAAGCGTTCTTGACCCTGAGCCTCACATTTACACAAAATCAATTCCAGATAAACTGTAGATCTAAATTTAAAAAGTAATAAAACACGTAGAAAATAACAGTGACTTCATGACCTTAAGATAAGCAAAGACTTTAAAGACAATACAAAAATCACTAACTAAAAAAGATTGATAAATCAAAACATTAAAATTAAGACTACTGCTTATCAAAGGCATATCAATCTCCAGGGAATTATACTGAGCAAAAAAAAGTGAATCTCAAAATGTTATATACTATATGATTCTGTTTATATAACTTTTATTTTTAATTGTGGTAAAATACACATAAAATTTTCCATCTTAACCATCCTTAAGCATACGTTTCAATGGTACATTTACATAATTATGCAACTGTCACCGCCCATCTCCAGAACTCCTCTCATTTTGTAAAAGTAAAACTCTGTACCCATTAAATAATGACTCCCCATTCCTCCCACCTCTACTTCCTGGCAACCACCAACCTATTTTCTGTCTTTATGAATTTCTGTTTCTCTTCTAGGTACTTCATGTAAGTGGAATCATACAGTTTGTCCTTCCGTGACTAGCTTATCCCACTTAGCTCCATGTCCTTAAGTTTTGTCCATGTGGTAAGCATGTGTCAGAATTTCCTTCCTTTTTATGGCTGAATAAATCCATGATATATATATACCACATTTTGCTTATCCATTCATTTATTGATGGACATGTGGGGGTTGCTTCCGTGTTTTAGCTATTGTGGATAATGCTGCTATAAATATGGGGGTACATATATTTCTTCAAGACCCTGTTTTCAGGTTTGGGGTATATACTCAGAGTAGTATTGCTGTATCATATGGTAAATCTATTTTTTAATTTTTTGAGAGGCTACACTGTGTTCCACAGTAGCTATACCACTTTACATTCCCACCAACAGTATATACAAAGGTTCCAATTTCTTCACGTCATTGTCAACACTTGCTATTTTCTATTGTTTTTTTTTAATAGCAGACATCGTAATGGGTGTTGGGTATATATAACATTTTTGAAATGATAACATTTTAGAAATGGAGAGCAGATTAGTGGCTGCCAGGGGTAGGGACGGGTGGAGGTGGTTATAAACATTAGTGATCCTTATGTAAGAACTATTCAGTAATTTTATGGTGGTAGATATCTGGACACAGGTGATAAAATTATATAGAACTCTCAGGGAAATGCAAATTAAAACCACAATGAGATATCACCTCACACCAGTTAGGATGGCCAACATAGAAAAGACTAGGAACAACAAATGCTGACAAGGATGTGGAGAAAGGGGAACCCTCCTAAACTGCTGGTGGGAATGTAAACTAGTTCAACCATTGTAGAAAGCAGTATGGAGGTTCCCAAAAAAACTCAAAATAAAAATACCATTTGACCCAGGAATTCCACTCTTAGAAACTTAGTCTAAGAGTGTAGGAACCCAGTTTCAAAAAGACATATGTACCCCTATGTTTATCGCAGCACTGTTTACGATAGCTAAGATATGGAAGCAATCTAAGTGTCCATCAGTATGGATAAAGAAGATGTGGTACATATACACAATGGAATATTATTCAGCCATAAGAAGAAAACAGATCCTACCATTTGCAACAACATGGATGGAGCTAGAGGATATTATGCTCAGTGAAATAAGCCAGGTGGAGAAAGACAAGTACCAAATGATTTCAATCATCTGTGGAGCATAAGAACAAAGCAAAAACTGAAGGACCAAAACAGCAGCAGACTTACAGAACCCAAGAATGGACTAACAGTTGCCAAAGGGAAAGGGACTGCCGAGGTGGGGGTGGGGGAGGGAGAAGGGGAATAAGGGGCATTACGATTAGCACACATAACATAGGGGTGTCACAAGGAAGACAGTATAGCACAGAGAAGACAAGTAGTGACTCTATAGCATCTTACTACACTGATGGACAGTGACTGTAATGGGGTATGTGGTGGGTACTTGATAATGGGGGGAATCTAGTAACTACAGTGTTGCCCATGTGATTTTATATTAGTGATACCAAAATTTTAAAAAATGAAAAAAAATATATAGAACTCAATACATAAACAAAGCAAGCAAAGGTAAAACAGGAAATCTGAATAAAATGGTGGATTATATCAATGCCAAAATCCTGTGATATTTGGCTGTGGTGGTGATATTATACTGTGGTTTTCCA